TTTTGGACGGAACTTGGCTCAGTGATTTGGAACTAATTACCAGATAACCGCCGCTATTCTGACTAAGATTCTGACAGTTGGTATCCATAGTTATTAATGTAGTGAACGATTAATCAAAAGATATGACGTATTCAGTACTTAGTGTGATTGGCTTTATGATTGAAGGTTACGCCCTAGAGTCTTTTTACTGTTTTGTAATTGGTTAGAGTTTTGAAAATGAATAAAGAGAGTTTGAGTTGGTCTTGGCGAATACTCCACGACAGACGCAGTCAGTCCGAGAGAGTCTTGGGGCGAGCCTTGACGCAGTCCAGTCTTGGGCGAGTCTTGGTTCAGCCTTGTGAGAGTCTTGGGGACTTTTCCCCAGGGCGCTGTGTCTTATAGAGTGCTCCAAAAGATCGACTAAGACGAGAGCTGAAACGTATTTCGTTGTGTGTGTCTTATTTGACTGTCAAGTTAAAGTGACTTTCCCGATCCCGTACCTCAAGGGGACGCGATAGAGAGACGAGACGAGTTTGCCCCCTGACACGTGTGGAGAACCCCGAGAGAGGAAGAATTTCCCCCTGATATTACAAGCAACATACAACATTGTCAGGGTTCTGCAGCTCAAAAAGAATGCTTGAGTGTGATAGAGGAAAAAAATTGCACAACAGTGTACATGGCTGAAGTAAGTAACATTTTAAACAAATATATAATATTTTCACCTTTTTAACATTGATAGCCAGCTGATCTCAAAGCATGAACCAATCAAATGGGATCACTGCACTACTATATACAATGACTATCGACTTAAAAATATTTGTAACCATATATTTGAATTTTGTGAAGTCAACAATATCAGAAGGTCTGTATGCTTGATCAAATAAGCCCAACATCTCATAGCAGCTATTTGAATATAGTGTTTGTGCTGTTCAACTTCCAGTTTTGACCAACCATGCTCAATTCAGGTTTGCAAAAGATGACATCAGGATGAAATTTTAAAATGTTCACTTCAAATAAAAATGTTATTAATCCAAACAGCAAACAAGGTGTGCAGGGTAATGTTGCAAGGTGCAACATTACATGATTTCATAATTTGGTGTTAACTTCATGTACATGTACTTTATATGTGTTTTTGTTTAATTTTTACAAAACAAGTGTCACATATTTGTATATTTTGTACTTGTAGTCTCCGTAGTAGCTTAACACAATAACATTCAACCTCATTACAAGGGTTATTATGAGAATTTTGCTGCAATTTAAAATCTGAAAGTATTCAACATCACTCTGTCATAGCATATTTTTCCAGAATGGATTTATAATGCAGGATAATGTTTGAATTTTTTCCAACCCAATATAAAACTACCAGATAGTTAACATCTACACGTGTTGATTTTTTCTTAAAATTGTTACATTGCTTACATTTCCATACATCCAATTTCCATTAATTATCTTCATAAATGTGTAACTTAGCCACAAAAAATTTGATAAACTTGTCAATTTAATGTTACAATTGAAATATATTGTCTTGTGATAATGTAGTCTCCGTAGTAGGTTAAATTTTCCAACAAGACATG